AATCTATTATTAGTAATAAAAATGGACTAGACCAGTCATGTTGAGATTAAACCAGTTTTTCTCCTTTGTTTTAACCTTTTAATCAATTATAATCACACAGAATACCCTGAGACAACCTTTCCCGCACTAAAAAAAGCCCATTAATAAGTACAGGAATGAAAAATAACATGAAGCAAGCAAGTCACATAAAAACATACATTGTCTGCACTAAAACAATATTATATTAAGACCCACCTTTCACGATGCTGAGCCCAAAGAAGTGAAGGTTCTTGACTTTCAGAAGCTCGCAAACACGACCAAACAAATCCTGCCCTATCGCCTTCACCTGCATCACACAACAGACCGACAGCTGGAACAGGCTCATCAACATCAACTACCAAGGAAACCATTTGTTCCACTTACGAGAGAACATTGTGCTTCTATTTTATGCATTTCATTTACCGAATGGGGAACACTGATTTGTTTTTGTTACCTTCAGTGGAAATTTAACATTCACTTCTATCTTTTTAAAGCACTCCTAGGAGGGCATCCTTCGTTAAAGAAGCAGGAAGGACAAATGCTTAAGTAGACTTCCCACAACTTACTTCAATATATGAGCTGTGCTGAAGATGATTTAGTACTTATAATTTTATTAACTTTTACAACATGCATGCACAGAACTTTGCTCTTGTGAACATGCAGTAGCTGAGCATGAACTCATCTACGTTCACAGCTACAGGACACTTTCTCTGGTTGAAGAAACTATAAAATTAAGTGTAATATTGAAAGGGCAACGTGCTAACAAACATTTTTAGGGTTTTTTTTAATACTGTTATTTTTTCTACACTACTTTTTTTCATTTCAAACCCATAACATAGACCTATAATAAAATAAACTCAAAATATTACTATTACAATATATTACTAAATATTGAAATTAGATTTATTCTGTAGTGGGTGACTACTCAAAGCCTCTAACATGAAACGAAGACAGTTTCTTCAATGAAACCCGCATCTCAGCAATGCATTCACATACATTAACAGCAGTGGGCAATTCCGATTCTGCACTTACCCCAATGGTGATGTCAAGCTGCTCTTTGTTAGGCAACAAGACACACACACTTTGCTCCTGCTTGCTCATGGTAACTCTTTTATCTGATCCTTCACACAGGTCTGGCTAAGGGCCCGTTCCTTTTACAGGATTGCTCCAAACAGAGGCCCCGGAGCCTTCATCTCCCCTGGAAAAAAAGCAGAAAATGAATTAAGGGAAACAGCTCACCTCCTCTGCATGAAGAGAGGAGTAGACATGTCCTGACAGCTGCATTGTTGCTTGATGAAAAACGAGGCTTCAGCACATTCTGCACAGCACATTAGAACGCTGAATTCCACCAGCACAGACAGTATGCACAGCTTGTATTCTTTTCGGACTAACCTTCCAAGCACATCCTTTAGACATGTTTAACACTGGAAATGTTCACAGATCTTGCCGTTTTCTTAAACTTTCACATCCATTCAGTTTGCTCTGCCATGGCTTTCCACAGTTTCAATCATGTTTCTCTGAACACAACACCCTGTATTATCCATTTAGCTAAATAAAGTACCTTTGCCATCCATCAAAAGGCTATTCTGATCCATGTTTTGGTCAAGCATGAATGTGTGCTTTGTGATTTTTGAACATTCTTAAAGGTGCCATAAAAACGTCAGCCTCAGTCATTCATCAATAAAAACTCTTTGGTGTTTGGTCCAAAGGAGCAGCCAACAGAAAACATACACTTGTCATTACTTGGCAAGCACTCCAAGGTCCATTATTGCTGGCTATATTGAGCAGCTGTGAAATGTCTTTGATTTAAGCTGCACATGTGGGTGTCAGTCTTAAGCAAGAAAACCAACAGCTTTAAAAAAAACTCACAACAGAAAACCTTATTTGAACTCCTGAGCTTGTACATTCTTGTACTGACTGAGCTGTGTTGTTTAGCGATTCTGCTTCCAAAGTGGAAATCTTTAAAAGAAATGATGCACCAATTTTATTTTTGTTATAGTTCCAGATCCAAAATGCCTGCCTTCAAAACTTTCTTTACTGGAAGACAGTTTGTTATTAAAATCACAAAAGATAAACAATTATTTGATTAGGTTTAATTTTTGTTTTATCTATTTTACTCCAACAACTTAAGACACATTTAATAATGTATTAATTCTCAGGAAACAAATGTCAAACTTTTTTTTTGTCATCTGTCAAACTTTTTTTTGCAGTTAGATCTTCATTTTTCTACAAAGCTCTCCAGACTGTTTTGACCTAATCTAAATAGCTCTTACCTTGTCCATTATGCAGAAACTACACTGAACCTAGACTCAATAGAGCACATCATCCACTTTTAAAATGAGGCCTATCCTGTGAAAAACACAGTAGGTCTCTCAAGTACATGAGTGTGTTTAAGTGACTGAACTGAGATTCCAGTTGGAGATAAAACAGATGGCACAGAAAAGCAAGTAGAATCTGACATTACAGTATATAACACAATGGAATACAATCTTTTCAGTAATTCAATGAGGTTTGAGTTTCCGACAAAATGTTAAGTCGATTATGTTTCAAGGCCCAATGCTTTTCTAAACAGACTAGTACTGCCACTGAGTGATTAACGCCAACTTAGTCACAAATCAACTAATCAGCTTAAAAAAGTTACAGTACTCACCCCAGCAAAGCTGTGGTTTAATACAGTTAAGGAATGGGAAGAAAAACAAAGATGAGAGATTTACATTTATTTACATTAGATAAATTTACAAAAGCTCAGAACACAGTTTTCTTCAAGGTTCAACTGAAAAACGGACTTGGGTCTGTAAAATACTAACATATCCTTCCGAAACGAACATGAATTTTTCACAAATAAGATCTCGTGCAACATTTTCTTGAGCATTTGTGAGATTTCCGCATGTCTACTGGAAGTGTATGAGGCCATGTATGCACAGTAAGCAGAGTCCAGCTCAGCAGGCTTCTCACAACTTTAATTATCAGCCACAATAATGGTATAATGAGGTGTGGTCTTTTTGTATGCATTAAAATATTTGTTAACGTTTGAAGGACAGCACCCATGTATCCCATTCACGGTACTACTGTACATTGTAAAATAATGAAATACTTGTAAAATCCAATACCGTCTAACCCATCTGCGCCGGCAACTTACAGTGCAGCAGCATCAGTATGGCTAAACATGTAAGGATAACTACAAATCAATTTTTTTTTTTTTATATTTTAAAGGATTGAATTAATGTCTCTAGAATTTATTTTTACAAATGAACGTGCATCCAAAATTTTATCTTGTATGATTATAACTCTTCTTTATAAGCCTGACAACATTTTTTTAAATTTAAATCCAGTCTGTTAATTAAAACGTCAGCACAGCACGATTCCCTTAGCTCTGGTGGACTTACAGCTGATGAACAGATGCTCTCATCAGAAGCACCAAGGCTTTTCACAGCCAATTAGAGACAAACAGTAATGCCTATCTTGAGGTTTACAGATATTCAGAGGTATCACTGTGAGGTCAATCGCATTATGAGATCTCTGGAGACCTCGTTTTTAACCAGCATTTGCCAGTGACCATGCAACTATTGGCGAGTGTTAGAGACAGCGGCATTTCAAGTTAAACATATTCATGTAATGAAAACCCAGATACCCAATGGACAGGACAGAAAAGCAACCCCAAAAGCCTCACTTCAACCACAGGGAAATGTATTTTTATCAAAGAAATAAATTAAAGTTGACAGAAATATTGTATAGAAAAGCTTATTTGTAGTATTAGTTTTAGTACCAATTAATTTTTACTGTGCCTAAAAATAACTCTTCAATTTCCTTTTAATCTGGTTTACCCTTTGTTTTATGAAGTATGCAGTTCAACTGTCCTCCACATTCAGTGAAACTCTGTTTAAAGAAGGTAGGCTATGCATACAAAAAGAGATTACTAATGATTGAATTATATATTTAGATAATATGTTAATTAAAAAAAAACAGATAAACTGCTTCTTTAACAATAATAGTAATATTCTTAGTAAACAATGAATACCAACAAAGAGCTGTGAACGTTACCCTGCACTGTACCGCTCAAGAGATTTGGACTCCTTCAAACCCTGACTATTGACCTGAGCCTGTGTTCTACTGTTATATTCTGAGTCAGTGTCTGAATCAACTATATCTGGAACATCCTGGGCTCACCCGTGAACACTGAGCAGGTCCCTGGACCCCCACGCTGCAGTGCATTTACACATGAATCACATGCTGACTGCAAAGTGAGTAGGCGTGGGTGTGAGTTTAACTTTGCTCATATTGCTATTTTACAAGTGATGTTTAATTAGCATTAAAATGCCTTTTGCATTGCATTTGAATTCCTTTATAAAATGTCAAGACTGAGGTAAATGGTGCACTAAAGAAGAATTCCTAACAGGATACAAACATGAGGAAATGGAAAAACACCAAGACCCACCACTTTTCATAAGACTGATTAGATACCTTTACCATTCCAAAGTCAAAGCACTTAGTGCACAAGTAATTACAACACACTAAACCCTAAGAGAAAGACTGTTCATTTCTTCTGCAAAAAGGTAAGGATTTTGAAAGTATTTTGACCCGGAATATCATAAAAGTATTATTTTAGTGTATTATTTAAGGGTTAAAGCTGTAGCTGATTTTGCTTTATGACTTAATATCCTTGTAATAAAATGCATTCCCTATAAGTAGATGGTCTCATGATTAGTTACCTTACAGAGCAGATAACGCTGAACTGTTATAGAAATAACATTCAACTTTGCTCTCATGTGTGGCTCGTTTTATGAGCAAATCTAAGCTCATACTTCCGCAGACCTGCTTGTATTCCAATGATAGTTTTTAGGAGAAAAAAACTCACCTACCCAAAGTAGAATTAATCTGTATCCATTTACTTTTAAAAGAAAATCTGCATAAAGCTGAAAAATAATAGTAATTTCCAAAAAACTGGCTATTATTTTGGTGAAACACATAGCACTCTAATGGCGTAACTTTTTCACAAGAATATAAAGCAACTTTTTGTTGTAGTTGCCTAGTTCAGAAGGCGATAGACATCTGATTTATTCAAACTGTCTGAGCCAGGCATTCTCTGGAAGGGAGTAAAATTACCCCAGTTCCACAACGCTACAGCAGTACAGACTCAAATGACTTTTAGCTTCTACACACATCACCATCCCACCTCTCCCTCCCAACAAATACCTTTGTAGTCTATAGTAGCCACAGTGACTCACAGACAGTCACTGCTGAGTATGGCCTAACATGGAAAGTACAGCAACTGCTTAAAGCTGCAGCTATTTAATCAAGTGTCTGAACGCAGTGACTTCTGTGGTTTGAGACTTTTTGTGAAGTCAGGCACGTCTGGAGAGAGATGAGGGGGTTCCAGGAGGGAGCTGAATCTTTGCTAGAGTTTGGGGTCAGGCCCATCATTGTTTTTGTCCAATAAAGCAGAAAATTGAGACTAGCTAAATCCTCCTCTGAATCTTCCAAATGACTCCACGCAGCCCTCCTTAAGGACTGCAGCAGGGAGTGACAGTGAGCAACCCTGGGAGAACAGCAGTCCTAAAGTCAATTTATTTTCTTTTACAGCTTTAGTATTATGGCAAAACAAAAAACAATCCCACTAATGGGACATCACTTTAAAGCAAAACAGGTCCTGTGCTGTCCCCAGACTCAAGACAAAGACTGGTCAGTCCACATCCTGACAAATAGTTTCTTAGACATAAAAAAAAAACACATGAAGTGGTATTTTGTTACTGAACCCATGCGGGATACTTTGAAAGATAAACACCTTGGAGACCTTCACATCAAGAGTTGTCAGATCCCAGGCCCATTTCACTATTTGGTAAACTGATAAAAAAACAGCGTTTCAATATGTATACATCGGTGGCCCAGTCTGACTACTAATTTGCAGCCATACAAGACCAGAACCAGAAATGGCCATCTTGCCTATAGACAGACAGAGGAGTGCTTTGAGATAAAAGGTGAAAGGCAGTGACAAAGACATTACCTACTGTAGGTCTCTTAAAAGACAAACTTAAAAGGGGAAAATTAATAATTGACATGGCCAGGTGTGTAAAATAATTCACTTTCTTCACTTCACAGTCAGCAGTCTCAAGCAAGGTTTGCACACAAGCTTATATATATTGACGACATCTCGCACTCATTGACGAAGACCGTTAGCATTTGTGTTTGCGTGTTAATTTGCTGACATCAGAAACTGAAATACGATAAATGATAAATCACTGTTGGAGCACATTTAAAGGTTGGTTGTATCACAAAAATACGTTCAAAAAGCAACAAAGAAATTTAGTCTAATGCGGTTACACTACTTTTATTTCTCCTGCCTATCAAGCATATTAAAATACTGATTTAATACATTATTTAAAATTGCCATAATGATTAGCAACATACCATCTAGCACTTCAATATCGCAACTGAGGGGTGTTTCCCTATTTAAATGTAAAACTGACGATCTGCAGACTACAGTTTTGTTTAAATTTAACAGCTACACAACATATGTGTTCGGTACCATTGCCTTAAGACTATATAATGAGATAAAAAGAGATTAATTTGCTCTTGCCAGGCTAACAACCATCTGTACGCCGCTCTCTGCAACGCCTAGAGATCTGTCAAAATATTCTTTTTTTTTTTTACAAACGTGACTTCTATGCCTCGACTGACGCATTAGAAACGCACGGGAGTATCACAGGTTGAAATAAGATACCCGTAGTCTTAAAACAGAAAGCTTATTTAAAAACACAATGGCAGGTGTGAGGGTCGCATTTTGATGAAGCCTGAGATAAAAACGGCCCCTTGTGTCCAATCTCAAGAAATCCCAAACTAATTATAAGGAAATTACGCTGATCAGAATGTTGTTTCAGCACCAGTACGTTACGTGTGGAAGACGACACCAGTATGAAACAACAATATGGTTCTTTCTTATTTAGAGTCCAGTGAATATAAACCGTTTCAGAATAATGTATTAAGTTTATATTGAAACAGTACGTTTGCAGGAGTGAGCGCAGAGCACGGGCAATGATTCCTAAAACAGAATGAACCATTGTATTGCTTAGCAATATCCACCGACACAGTTAAAATAGCGCTGTACAATTCACTGGCCAAGAAACTCCGCGTTTCGATGACGATATTGCACCCACTAAGCAGGTTGTATACACATGGAATGTTTCATTGAGAAATGCTTCAAAATTGAAGATTTTTATTTAGAAAAAGGCAGAAGTAGATGCCACTACCCTGCTTACTTCCTCACTTTAATTCGGGACACAAAAATCAGACCGAGGTTAAAAAAAAAACAACTGATTCAGTTGCGGATGCGTCCCCAGTTTAGAAACTTTATTTTCAGTCAAGACCACCAACATACATTTCAATGCAGTTAAAGTTCAGAGACTTAGCCTAGACAAATAATATCCAATGAGCATACTGAAATAACCATGCCATCTGTGGCTCGTTAACTTCTAAGGTAAAAGCCAGAGTTGTACTCACCAAAACAATGCACAGCACAGGATTCGTGAAAATACTGTTTGAGGGTGACGTTTGACTTCTCTCAAGAGAATTGTTCTTCAGAGACGCTTCTCACTGGCTACTCCTAATTCAAAAACCCCTTCTTCATACACTAAACCTACAATCCTAAAACACACACCCACCTCCTCCGACAGCCCATTGACTGCCGGAGAGTAGGGATGGGCCAAGACACTACCAGCTGGAATTAAGTGTGGGGGGCGACACAGGGGAGCTAACTTTTAAATGAAAAAAAAAAAAGTAACATGAAAGACGCGTAACAGGATTACTTTTACTTATCTTTATAATCAGAATTATAAATGTACAGCATACTGTACTGTTAACTGTACTAATATGCTTCCTGATCACGGAGAAAATTATTCAAATATTATTTAAAAAAAAAACTACTGTAGTTATTTTCAGTCA